CTTCCTCATCATATTAGAAAATTATGTTCAAATTTTAAATTATCCGAGAAGAAAAATATTTTAGTTACAGGTGCTACGGGATTTTTAGGTCCTCTAATTATCTGTGAAATTGCTAAACAAATGGATGATAATGTGAATATTTATTGTATTATTCGAGCAACAGATAATGAACATGCTAAACAACGTTTACAAGATGATTTAGAAAAATGTGGAAAAATGAATTCAGTAAATTGGAAACAAATTCATTGTATTGTTGGAGATATTTCAAAAGATAATCTTGGATTAGCAAATGATTTATATAATAAATTAATTGAAGAAATTGGTTTTATTTATCATAATGCATCACAAGTACATTTAGAAATGCCTTATAAAGCATTAAAAAAATGGAATGTTCAAGGAACATTAAATGTTTTAGAATTTGCATTAAAATCTCATGGAAAATTTATTTATACAAGTTCAGTTGCTGCATTACCTGCTTCGAATGATTTACAAGAAGATTCAAATGGATGGACTTGTTTAACATCAAATGAAATCAATCAAAAAGATGGATATGGACAAGCAAAAGTTATTTGTGAAAAAATTTTAAAACAAGCATCAGATCTGGGTGCTCATATTATTATTGTACGACCTTGTTCAATATCTCCACATACAAATACGGGTTATACAAATCTTAATGATTTTATTAATATATTATTACGAACTCAAATTGAATTAAATACTATTGTAGAAAATTCTAATATGAAATTACATTTTGTACCTGTTGATTATTGTGCTAAAGTTACTGTTGCCCTATCGAAACATTTTGAAAGTCAAGGTAAATGTTTTAATTTATATGGAAATCCTTTCAATATAGCAAATATTTATAAAATTTTATTTGATAAATTATCAAATATTAATATTAAAAAAATTAAACAAAATCAATGGAAAGAGTTTGTTTTGAATAATTTATCTGAAAGTAGTCGATCATGGCCTTTAAGAGAACGAATAGCAGCAATTCAATTTGTTAATGAATATCATGGAGATGAACAACATGTTGGTGTACCTATTCATATGACAAAAGAATTTTTAGAAAAAAAATGTCTTATTCCATGGTTTGAAATTAAAGATGAAGATTTTATTAAATCAATTGATTATATGATTCAACAGAAATATTTTAATTAATTTTTTTGTGAATGAAAACAAGATAAAATAATATTTGTTGTATTAATAAAAAAATCTTTTAAATAACTAATATATTACTCATGAATATATTGACAAAATAACTCTATAATCTAATTTCGTTTCTCGTTTCATTTATTGATATTGTAGTTCTTGAAATTCTATTAAATTTATAAATAACCTTCCAAATTTGAATAAATATGTTATTTCTTTTGGGCAAAGCATAATCAATGAAAATAAGTTTTATTTATTGATACCTTTCCATATAATATTGTTCAAGTAATGAATAGTTTTTCCTTAAGAAAATCAAATGTTGAATTTTTAAATAAACTAGTTTTCTCTCGATGTTAAATATACAATAAAGTTTTAGATAATATCTCTTTATTATATGACCTTCAGTAAAATACACTGTTAAAATATTCGTGGTACTTGAATATTATCTTATCCTAATACTATCTATTACTTGTTTATCGGTGATTCAAAAGTCATAGTCAAATCAATTGAAACATTTGAATGATTTACAAAATATAATTATAACATTTCTTGTTCTCTGAAACTGATCGAAAATAATATAAATATATGAGTACCAATTCATAATGGTTCTGTGCAATAACTAAAACTTTCTTGATGATTTCGAAAAATATTTTCATATTTATCAATATGATGACAATTGAGGCACTATAATGATACAATTGATTAAAATCTGGTCTTTTGAATTTCTTTCACATCAAATATTTATAATCAAATATTGTGCATATTAATTTAAGATCTCGACAGACAAGTTGACTTTAAAATTTTATCAATTAAATATTGTATGAAAATCTAACTGATTGATTTCGATTTCCACACAAACTATTTTATTTATTGAACGACAGAAATTCACTTGATTATTAAATTCTTGATTTTTCTTAATATTTGCTGGTTGTTTTGATCTAGTTTTATGCACGCTTCTATTTTTAGATTATATGCAAATTTTATTTCAACCGGTTTTATAGAGGTCCATTGCTTAACTTTTCATTAGCAGCGACACCCACAAGATTGATTATTGATTGGTGCGCTAAATTTTTGTTCTCTTAAAAGGGAATGATCTGCCTATTCATTGACAAGATGCGTTGAGTGCACCTTTGATTTCTTCCATGTTTGCGTCATATATAAAGGAATTCGACATGGCATTAGAGCTTCAGTGCAATTACTTGTTGAATCTGTTTCAAAATCATATTTTATTATTCGAACATATACTGATCCGTAGCAGATATGAGCGGCTCATGTCCAAGTACGTTAAATAAATATTATAATATATCTATAATTTGGTATACATTTCTGTTTTAGCTTCAACACTTCAGCCAGTTAACGAAGATAATGAATCGATTGAAGTCACTGAAATAGACTCAAAAACAAATGACATGATTGAAATTAATCAGCGTTTGGACATTGGTGATAATAATAATAGTAATAATAATATTGTATAAAGTAGAAAATTCATATAAAAACTATCTTTCGTTAGGTTAAGATCCGATCTTTTCTACTTGTCACAGATATAATCTGAACTAGATGTATATTATTACGAATAACAAACTTTGATTGTATGTCTCTTATAACTCAATGAAAACAAACAAATTTTTCAGATTAAAACGAAAGAAATTACAATATTTTGGAGCCTATCTGTATTTGACTAGAAATCTACTGAGTGATACAGAAGAACTAAATTATGTAAGGAAATAATTAATGCTTTTTATAAAAGATTCGATTATTTAACTATAATAAAATCATTTGTTTCGTTTAGGTACAATCAATTTTAGTCGAACAGTTTCTCCATATCAAAAGTAGAGTTGCTACTTCTTCTTATTTTAACACAAACAACGGTGATCTCCTCTAACTGTTTTATAAAAAAAAATCCTTATTTTTCATTTTTGTTCATTTTTTCCTATATTTTTCTTTCTGCGATATATTCTGTTGTTGTAACATTGTCCTCTACTTCTTTTCTTTTTGTTCAGCCATTATAACTATAAAAAGTTTATATCTATCAGTTATCTCCTAATATAATGACCAAGTATATTGAAATTATATTTCTATATTGTACAACAAACAATCATTTTACTCGTACATTGTTTTGAAATTTCTAATTTACTATATAATCGCTGGATTATATAAAACATTTTTCAAACTATCAGGTGGATGATATTAAATTGTTCTTAATAATTCTTGAAAAACAAATTCTGTCAAACACTATTCACTTGAAATATGATAAAATATGTTACGATAGACATTTCAAAAGAAAATGATTGTATATAAAAGAAATATTGAATTGATAATTGTTCCATATTTCTTCTCAAATCCTGTTCTTTTATACACATCTCATTCCAGATGTTAACATTATTCATCAAACATCAACTATTAAAATAAGTTTATCATTAACAATTCTATTTATAATTTTAAGATTAATCAATGGTATACTTTCATGAATAACATTTAAAAATAAAAGTATACGTAAAGTTAGTTGTGGAATATATTTACTTAGTTCATCAATAACAATATTATTAACAAAGATTATGTTTAGATTAAAATATTGTATCTGTCGTTCAATAAAAATTTCAATATCATTTATTAGATTTTCTTTTTCGGATTTGTCTTAATCTAAACCAATGGTTAAATGTATGTGTGACAATGGAAAGAGTAATAACAATTATTCAAGGTGCTTAATTTGATAAAAAGAAAAGTAACAAATTAGCTAAAAAAGTTTTAATTATTCTTTTAATTTTAAATATTTTATCGATGTTTATTCGAAGAAGAATATGACGATGATAATAATATTAAAAGAAAAGAATTTGGTGTATTCTAAAATATTCTTCAACTTTACAAATCTAAAATCGAATTATAAATATATTCCATTCTTAATTAATTTTATTTCATCAATTATTTTATTAAAAAAATAATCCCATCTGCACAGAAATCAATCTTATAAAAACGTGTTATACGAACAAATTCGAAACTCAGCATTTATTAATTGTACCTGTGATTTTATCTTTTTTTTGCAATACCACGATTAATTCTTACTTATGTATTCAAATGTATGAATTTAACAAAAGATTCTTGATTGTTTCTTTGTGAATATTCGATTTTATTTATTCTTCCGATGATTACTTTTCTTATCTTTGTTTTACCATCAGAATTTTATATAAAAGAGTATCGAAAAATGATTGTACAATATCAAAATCTGATTCAACAACGTTCTCGTCGAACATTATAAAGATAATAAACGAAAATATTGGATTTTCTTATCTTTATCCTTGCTTCTTTGTCTGTATGATGATGTTTTTATTCAATATTTTACGTAGGGTGGGTATGGGTGTAGGTGATGGAAAACAAGTATACTATGTACACATCCGCATCCATACCTATCCATTCGCATACAATACTAATCGTTAGTTATAATCTATATTTTCTCAAAGCTAATTAACATTATAATGTTTTATTAAAAATACAATGTCTTCATAGAGAATTAGGCGTCATGTTCATAATGATAGACTGGGAGTTTAAAGATCAATCGTCTCTGAGAGGTAAATTAATCTGGTGATCGCTGCTGGGCACAGTATCGATGAATTGTCGATCTGAAGCATCATCAAACAATGCATTCCAATGAGAATCTTGTTCTGCTAACCAGTTTAAATTACCAAAGATATATAGAGCACGTCTTGCCCTTGTTAACATGACGTTTAAGCGACGTTTGTCATTTAAAAATCCGATTGTTTTACCTTCACCACTTCTAACACATGAGATGAGAACGATATCCTTTTCCTTTCCTTGTGCACTATCCACAGTCAGTACTTCTATATGACGTGGAAATTGAAGTGACTGCTTACGGAATTTTTTCATCTGACCCTTGTATGGTGTAATAACGACAATACGTTTTTCCATTTCAATGAATTCCGGGTCATTTGGAAGGTAAGGTTGCCGATCAACAAGCTGCTCAAGTAATTTGATGCAGAATTTTTTAATAAAGATCCGTTCTTCTTTATTGTCGGATGATCCGCCATTAGGTGGACATTGATGGGTGGTATAAGTTAGATTGTATAAATAATAGGGTTTTAATGGATAATCAGCCCAGTAATTCATTACACTCTCGTGTGTAATAAGTTGACCATCATAGAAGTGGTGATTTGGAAAATGACATATTTCTTCATGCATACGATACTGTTCAGTAAGCATGCTGATGTTTTTTGAAGGAATTATATCATTTAGTCTATCATAAAGTGATTGCGAAAGATTATGTTCTTGACCAGCAGGACTGAGCACACATGGAGGTAGTTGTTGAGGATCGCCAACAAGTATAATCTTTGCACAACCGAAATAAAATGGTAAAAGACAGTCCGGTTCGAGACTTTGACAAGCTGCACCGCAATAATAAAAAATATAAAAAAAAAGAAACATCAATAAAACGGTCGAGATAATTTACACTCGTTTTCACGTAGACTCGCTTTTGTATATGTTTGAATACATGTGCTTCTTAATGAGACCTTATCACTACCGATATATATTAAAAAAAGAGTGCACGTGAAAACAAGTAGATTATCTCGATCAATAAAAGACTTTACCTTCATCGATGATCACAAAATCAACATCTTCTCGATGTTTCATCAATAAAAGCGTACTATTAGCTGAATAGTTTAATGTTGAAATGATCACTTTGGCTTTTGTTAGAATACCTTCCTTGACAGAACCGACTGTTTCTCGTATTATTGGTACTTGATTTTGCATCATTCGAACAAGTTGTTGCATAATCTGCGATTCGAGATAATGTTTGCAGACATCATGATTAAGAGGTGCTTCACGACCGACGCGTACCAGTGTTCCTATAAAATTTCTAAACTCAATTCTCTGGTTCAGAGTAAAAGCTATTGAAAACCTGTTTCATTTTCGAGTCTCAGTTCATTCAAAATTCGCTTAAATAGCTCATCACAGGCATTGTTTGATGGTGCACAGATTAGAATTTTTCTGTTTTTTTTCAGTTGTGGCAACAGTGTTGTAACAATACCGGCAATTGTCTTACTTTTTCCAGTACCTAAATAGAAACAGTTCGAACATTTTCAAGAGAAACTACACCAGACCAGGAGGACCATGAACGAGATGTAAATGATCATTGTTGTTGTCATTGAAGATTCTATCTGCACATCTAATTACATTTCTTTGATTATTGTTAAAGTTTCCAGCTATTTCTGATTCTATGATATCATTTGGAATATTTTTTCCATGAAAATAGGGATCATCATCTACTTTTAGCAGTAAATTACTTTGTTTCGAAAACGTACGTAAATTATAAACGGCACTAATATGTCTTCGAGATGATGTAAAATTGCCCAACTTAGTGACAGGAATTGTGTTCGATTGAACAGATGTACAATGCTTTGCAATTACATCTGAACATTTTTTCGAGGTATACAAGACTATTTTAGACTTTACGTTGATGATATTTATATTGTTCTTCCCTTCTACTAGATCAGTGGTGACTGAATTTGTATCCATATTCGCTGGCCAACGATCACTTACGTGAACAACAACAGCAAAAAAACGTTGGATTTGACCTTGAGGATTAATGCTAATGAGTATAATATCACCTAAACCAAGTTTAGGAAATGTTCGAGTAAAAGAGAGATCAATATCGAATGAGTAAGATCCAAACATCAGAGTGGTCGGTATTGAAGATTCAGACGGATGCACTGGCTGTGTAAACTGTGGTTCATTTTTCTTAATTTCAATTGTGATATTCTCATTAGTGTTAGAGAAATTGTTGGAGACTACTGATTTTGCATCATGTTTGATGTTTTCCCATAATTCGTGATAAAGAAGTGGTATGAAACACTGCTCATACCGCTCTTGCGCATGTTCCACATCAAAGTCGGATTCAGCTTGTGGATCACCTACGATAAAAGATTTTGTCTCGTACTTTTATATTTTTCAATAAATGTTACCGAATATTGATGGTACAGTCAATAAACGCTCGGGCGTTAGACTATGGTGCAAAGCAGAGTTTGTTCCAAATGTTTGAAGTAAATAGTGAGGGTTCCATCGAGTAACGATGCGATCCAACAAGATGCGAATATTATCATGAACTTTATTACACCAAAGAGATCGTTGGGAAGAAGCTCGAGGATTTTCTTGCTCTAATTTTTCTATGTGACGTTGGAAGAGATATAAACATGTTATAGCTCCTTTTTTGAATGCGCACAAAATACGCGCTCTATTCCATAAAGGACCATCACGAGGATCACTGCGTTTCAGTTGAAACCATGTTCTGGCCGTGTAATCGTTCATTATTATCGATTTGAAAATAATCTACCAAAACAAGGAATATACCGCAAACAAACCGACTACCCATGTAAAAAAAGTGGTGAAAATCATGATTTTTATGAGAAATCCGATGAGAAATCGATTAAAATAGCACAATTTTCATAGCTTGGTAATCAGTTAAGATGAAAAAATTAATTAAAATCGATTAAATTATTGTATGAAACGGTGAAAAATCGATTAAGTTGTATATAATTGATTAAAATCCAATGCTATTTAATTTTTCGTGAAAAATAACTGATTTTGATCGACTTTATACAACAGTTTCATCGATTTTGATTGTTTATTTCAACTTAATTGATTATCAAACTATGAATATCGTGCCATTTAAATCGATTTTTCATCCGATTTCTCATAAAAATCATGATTTTCATCACTTTTTTAGATGGGTACTTTACTTCATTATTTTAAAATGCATCACACCTCAGCGACACATACTATAATTATAACATACTTGTGTTGTCTATAGTAACGAAGGAAAAAACACAGGCAGTCATTTGCATGAGTTATTGCTTTGTCCTGCTGCACGTTGTTCACAGCAACTCAGATTCTGTATCTTGAGTGTGGGATGCTAGTGTATCTTATTTATCCTAATCGCGTCCATATCGACATCAAGTCTCAAGATGGTACTACTTACGACGTGGGTCATTGATCGTGTAATCACCGTTTAAAGGAATTCAGCTAATTAAGGGAAACATGGAAACTGTTGTAGAGGCACAAAGATTTTTATAATGAAAAAAATTCCATTGATTGAATAAATAAGAACAAATCTTATTTCATTAATATATTATTGGAAATATATTGAAATGTGAAAAAATTGAATTGTCCAAAACATTTATATATGTTTTGTGCGATCAACAAAAGATTATATATTTTAAATATTTCTTTCTTTTAACGTAATTATATATATGTAAGTCAAGCGATTTCTAAGAACGGAAAGAATTTACTATATCAATAATAATGGTTATTATTCTCAAGATTTAATAAAATGAAACTATGAATACCTTTTTTTGTATACTTTTTATTTAAAAAGTGTGTATATACATACAGGTAACCATAGTCGTGCTATTGCCTTGAATATATTTCTTTATTAATATAAATTAAATGTCTTATCTTTACAATTATTTTATTTTATTAAATCTTTATTTTATACAAATCAAATATAAATTAAGTAGTATAATTACACAATTATTGAAAAATAATAAATTAAATAAAGATCCATTACTTTCAATGGAATAAATCAAAATCATTAAGAGAGGGTCCGCCAGACCACCAAACAAGCCGTCCGGAGCCAAATTTTTTTTTTGAGATTT